TAACGAAAACATATATCGATCATTGTAATTTATTATCGTATTCATTTCAATAATAAAGCATGCATCGATTTGTTTAAAGCACTATGATATCATATCACAATATTAAACCAATTAGACKAACACATAACAATTATTCAAAAGCAATTCTCAATTTCGGTGAATCAATAAAGCCATAATCAAACATGTGTGTTGGTCTCGGCTAATCAATAAACCCATTAAACCAAACATGAGACTCTAAGCGATGAAGCATGACAATATTTAAACAAAGAGCCAAAACTGAATCAATGATTAAAATCAAAACCATATTTCAAGCATTAAAGTTAATAATTATCAGTCGATTATTATGCTACCTCAAGATTAAAGCATAAGTGTACAGTATGAATACTTATCTCGACGATAAAGACGGCGGACAACGTCGAAGATCTAAAGCTTATTCCAAATTTCAAATGGAGAGATCGAAGACGGCATCGGCTAGGGATAGAGATCTACAAGATCATATAATTACACCAATCGACATTAGAAAATGAAAAACTAAGCAACTTCACCGTAATTTTAAGTCCGAATCATATTTATATAATAAATTGAACGATCTGTTGGTTTAGTAGCATTGATTCGATTGTTATGAATTCTAAAGCGATAAATCATGTGTATCAGTTAAAGAAACGAGCAAAGATAATTGAGTACCAAACCAAAGATTTATCAAGTTCATGTAATTCCATGTCCAAAATAAGCAATAGAAACAATATACACACAGATCTTGTTAAACGGAAGGATTCTAAATTCATAATTAAATCAAATTGTTAAAAGCATGGTTGACAGATGTATGAATACTAGATCATCGATACTCAATACTAAAATCAATTTGTTATGAATCATGCAAAAGTCAATCCGTTATAATTCTACAATTGTAAAGCATGAATCAGTATGCTATAGAAACATGAGTCAATTTGTCATAAAACAGTAAAGCATCATGAGTTGGAGTGTTACACTAACAAAGCAATAGTTACATGTGTCGATCTCTTATATATCAATTAAGCAGGTGACGAAAGATCTTAATAAAACATGTAAACGTCTATAACTTAATGTTGCCATCAAAATATTAATCAAATAAAAATAAATGGAATATGAGTAGCACTTATCTCGATGGAATTGAGACGATAACAACATCAAAAATCGTAGACGGTCTTGTTGGAGATTCGTAGTTGTTTAGACGGCTAGGGTTTTTATTTAGTGTCTAGGGTTTTTGGATTTTGTTCGGACGGCTAGACTAACGTGCTGATAACG